AGGAGGGCAGAGTTTAAATGGTTTAGGCTTTTTTCAGAAAAGTTTTCTGCGGGATGGGGTTGCTGACCCCATGCCCAACCCTTCTTTACCCGAGCTTGGGACCGACAGTAACCTTTAAAAAAACTACAGGCGTTGTTAAATGAGTGCATAGATCCATAAGGTTATTTATAACGAGATTGTTGCGTAAATAATGGATTTCCGCTCAGTCACCAAATATGTAACTCAATAAAAAAAGCTATTAAGATTTTAAAGTTACCAGTAGACTATCTAATCTCTATATATTCGTTTTCAATTGGGTAGACTCTTTGAAGTGATTAAACACAGTACCTTTGTACTAATTTAAAATCTCATTGAATTTATTGTTTACTATTTTAGATCATATGGATATAAACGGAGGTCTGTTTAACGAATCAGGTAATGGGTTTCATATCATGAGAAAAACTTCATGATATTTAGTTTATTATTAAATGCGCTGTTGTTCATTGTCTGTCTTACCAATTGTTTTTTCTTCCAAAGTTGATGTTATCTTCTATATGATTTAACTAATTACCCAAAATCTATAGCAAAATTGGATATTTTTATGTTAGACCTAGTTATTGCTTTCATATTAAAAAACTTCCTTACGTTTGTTACTTGCTTTGTGATGTCCGCCTGTTGTTTTGTATATAGATTTCGCCTATAAGGGTACTGGATATTATTAGTTTAGGCTTGGTTATTGTGGTCTATTATATCTCGTCGCTGCCGACAATTATCAGATTTACCACACTTACCTCTTAATTTAATGTCGGATTTCAGGAGAATATGAACAAACTATAGATGAGCAAATCCCAGCAATATACACTTCGGAGGATGAGCGTATTCGAACACCAGCTGTCTTATCAGATACCTGTAAGTGTCATGGTTCTTAAACTGATTTCATATAAATTATAGCGCGCTCACCCATTTTTTCTGGTAACCATCAGAAAGTAGTACAACCGTTAAGAGGTGATAATAAGCATGCAGAAAACGATACGAATAATTCATCAGTACCAACAAAGAAAGCTAGATTAGCAAGTAAGTACATAACACAATTCATTTCCTTTCTGTCCTTTTAATCAATAGTTCCTTCGGGTTTAGTTTCCTATGCCATCGATGAAGATGATGATGAGCATACGGTGTTAGATACAGATCAGAACACTGATTCTGACGATGAAAATGATCCTAAACCAAAAGGTGATCATGGATTCCATCTTGGTAGTATGGATATCCCGTTGGATAGTTCGGGTGGACCTCCGACTATTTTCAGTTCTGACCAACCTATCAACATCTCCCAAAACCAAGTTCATATTTCAGAACCAGTAAATGATGTAAAAAATCCAAACTTAATCACTAATGAAGCGAAATCAGAAAGTCCTACCCTTACAGAACGCCTTATTCAAGCGGTTCAATTGCCCTCTGAACCTACTGGTCACTGTTCAATGGTGCTTCAAGAAAGAGTAGAGCGAGCAGTGCGTCGTATGCGCTTGGATATAAGCTACGATCCTAACAGAGCAATTCAAGATAACAAAGCGTTCCGTAACCCCAGGTTTGTAAACGTATGGACCAACATAAACTCCGTTTTATTTTAGTATTTATGAAAAGCTGATCGATTTTTTGAAAATTGACGAGAAAGGGACTAACTTCTCTACGGTAAGTCTATTGTTACAAATGCCTAATATCATGTAATTCATATATACTAATCTATTGCTCATGTGCTTGGTAAATTATATTGATATTGAGGAATAAAGAAGAGGCCATTTTATGTGTTAACTATGTGTTTAACAAGTATAAATGCCCCACAAACAGCAGGAAATATTGATATGTTTAAAATAGTGTGATCTCTGTACGGTAGTTCTGGGTTTTAGTGAGACATAGATTAATATAATGATGTTTTCCATATTACTCACTCACATATTCGCGTAGCTGCAACTGATTTTAAACCATAGATTACAGTTTGTATATTCCAGACAGAAAGAGCGTATCTCCTCTACGTGGTTCAGATGAATATCTAATAGATTAGTAAGCTGGTCTCGTATCTTAGTATAATTCCTCTGATTCCAATCTACTTATTGTCTTGCCAATATATCGTACTAGGATAGGGGTTGGCTACGACGTGTTACGTACGTACAGTTTCAATTGATGATAGTATATAGCTGTATTCACTGACTTACCACATTAACATAGGTGTGAGGGCTGTTAATACTAATTGATCGCCCAAACTCAAGTAGGGAGATTGAGGTTTGAGCTTCCGACTGTGGGTGGAAGTCGAACGACCTAACCATTGGAATACCATCAAACTGATAAGTATTCATTTTGATAGAATCAGTCAGTCAGTCAGCTACAACGTAGGACCAGGCACGTATATGCATCGGTCCAAGTTGCCATACCGCATTAGCAGCATCGCTGTTATGCTGGTTGTCTGAAGGAAACACCTTACTGCTGTCACACCTCTGTACAGTCAGCAGTACGACTTCGCCTTCGGACCTTGGTTTCGTTGCTTTTAGTCTTACCGCTCTTCAACCGACCTGTCTGGCATGGTAGGACCTTGAGGAACGGTTGTTCCAGCCAGTATAGCTCAGTTGCTTCATCACGATAGGCAAGCCCGACCACCACGTCAAGGTAGCAACAACGGTCAGGATTTTGATAGAATATACATTGTTATTTCCAATGCTTGGTGTGGTATTACAATAGCATCTTAGGTGGATTCCTATCCTTTATTTTATGGGTAAAATATAAAGCTAAGTATTTATTTGGTAACCAATGTAGCTGAGTTTATCAAGATTATTTTATACTATTCACTCCTTGTATGTAAAAACATTTCTTATGTGAAACTTTATGAAGGTTGATTGTACGTAATATATCATGAGTACTTCATGACTCATATTTTGATCAGGACATATATGATCCCTATCGTTGGACTCCTCAGTCATATTATGAAGAACTTGCAAAGGTGCAAAATCGTGAAATCGACCGACTGATGAAAATGCAAAAAGAACTGAAAAAATCTGACCCAAATACAACGAATGCAAACAACAGCACAAGTGCGAATGCACCTAAAAATCCAATTACTAGCACAGAAAAACCCAGTACAACATCTGGAGGGTCCGTTTCTACGGGGTACATAGGTTAGCTAATGTATTTTTCTGAATTATATTTATTTCTCCCTTAAAAAACGTGCTGAAGAAAGCGTATATATGACAGTGTTATAACACACATGAGTCGTAAGTAATTGTAAAAAGAACTTTTTCTTATATATTAAAGTTTTGATTCATTGTTAATTATAGTAGGTGGTGATTTCCCCGAATGAGTAAATCACTTTATAAAAGTTATTTATAAAAGAATCTGTTTCATGTTCACTTTTACCTTATCAACAAATCCTGAATATAGGGTCTAAAAATCAAGGGTGGAAATAACAAATCTAGCACTCTAATAGTTGAGATTGAAATTATACTAACCAACTACATTTTTAAAGTAATTTTGTGTTTTTAAGATAACCTGTTACATGGTCTCGTATATAATTTCTAGGATGTTATATAGAATGGTCAACTTAGTATGTGATATTGTGTCGTAAATTGAGTATAAAACCACTACTCAATGAACGCCTGTAATTTAGACGTGAATTATACTTCAGATACACTTCCAAACCCTCGAAGGAAACCTTCATTATATAAAAATTAATAGGTTGTACCTAAATAATGTTTGCTACAATGTAGTTAATGAACATTTTCATTCCTTCTGTTATAAATCTTGTCCAGTAGTAAAAACATTTTCACTGTTTATATAGATTTAGGAATACAGACTATTTAGGAAGAAACCTTACACTCGTTTACCGCTAGTGTTTCCAGTATGTGTCGGTCTGATTTCCACCAATCTTTGACTTTCTTACTCTAACTGTATTTCAAAAAACGGTTTTTTCAATCATTGTAAACTAATATGTTTTAACAATCACAGGTCCATCAAATATGTTTCCGTGTAGAAGAATGGGAAGACTTGTGAAATAACCTTTGTGAATCCACTGAATAAAACTACATAGCATTAGTGAAGATAGCAAATTGATTTACTATTATTGAAGAAAGTACCAATACAAAACGAAATGTAAGGTTTTTCAATAGACTCTTAACTGCTGGTATCCTTGATAAAGCGAACACTGAATGTAAATTTCACACCAGTTACTCTCAACTTTGAACGATTTCGATTCAGATCACAAGATTAAAATGTAGCTAAGATTGCAACGTTAGTGAAATTTCATACAATTTTAATAATCCATAAACAGGAACATATGACTTCACCTTTTTTGTGGGATTATAGCAAAGCTATAATTACTTGAAGGACAATATAAATAGACACAACCTTTTAAAAATAAGCATATCGATCAAAAGACAATCCGTTTCATTTATTTTTAAAAACCTAGAAAACCATACTTTCCAAAAACTCAAAGTAACTTCATTATTAAACGTTGAACAATCATATTTTTCCAAAAACTGATAACTTGTTCATCACTTTTGTGATTACGATTGTAATCAATAAACACAGTTCTTCGAAAGTGAAATTGGAGTGTTATAAAGTCCACTAGTCATAATGATTATAGTAACAGGTTGATATTGCTAATAACTCAAAACTCGGTATCTTTTTCATGTAACTTTGTATTCTTGATTCAAATTATAAGCCTATCATACTTTTATTTTACAGAACCAAAAAAACCAAGTAAATGGGACACAGGTATTCCCACCAACGTTCAACCCCATGACACATCCTCAGAATCTGTTAAGTTATCTGTCCCTCCCGTTGGAAGTTTGATTAAGCGAAATTAAAACTAATCCAAGTTACCAGATAATAACTTTGAAATACGCTGCTCTTTTTATAATTTTTCAAAAATATTTTTCAAGATGTTAATACAACAATAAAAGTGAAATACTCAATCATGTTAATTTGTGTAAAAGAGATCATTTGTTCCAATCAAAAAACTGTTGAAAGATGAACGTTTACGCATAGATATAATGATTGGGATTAACTTGAGGTTCCTGATAACTGTCTTCCTGCGTTTTGTGATGTGAGGCTGATGCAGGTAAAGATGACGGTAAATTATGCTTTAGATCAGGTCTAACTTGTGTACCAGGAATGTTCTGGTTATACAGTGCGTTGTTTGCGGGTGACCAATTCATAATAAACGAGTTTGTTGCTCGCGTCCAGTCATCTTTATAAACCTAAAATTACAGAAAACTTCCCTTTTTAATACTATATAACTGAGATGCATTTTCTTAAATTACATATATTGTTTTATTTTCTAAATAACTGCCTGTTGTTATCAATCCATAGCTTTCATTAACTGGTTGGTCTTATTTTCTGATGAATATACTTTTACGAGTTATTCGGTCTGCTACACAGTTAATGAAATATAGCTACATGGACGGATACATAGTCTGTATTTATTTATTGAAGAACTAGATAATAATTTCATAATTGAGACTTTTCTAAATAACTCGTTTACTTACGAGGATTATATACACCATGGACTAACATCAAAAACCAATCTTATCTAACATGGAAAGCTTTAGGAAATATACATCAGTGTATATGAGGGTCGTTCTTGACAATATTGAGATATGACTACAAAGGCTGTTGGCCCATGTGAAGGCTTAGTAACTCATCTCAACTTGGTTCATTAGGATTCGCCTCCAAATGCCCTGGCACAACCGAGAGTGGAGAGTCAGCTCTCCATCTCGAAATGCTCTTACATGGCCACGTGCATGCAACAACTGCCAGGGAAGTCTTATTCACTGCCTTCTCGCGGCATTACTGTTGTTTATGAAACTGAGAGGACGAAAAGCGAACGTCCAGTGCTTTAACCGGGTTGGTGGATACGCAGAGTCCATCTAGGGGAGTTGGAAAACTCTGATTCCAATGGCGCATATGGTCTCCAGTATCCTGATGGAACAAAAGGTGTATGAACCTATTGCTAGTGACCGGCTACCATGAAGCTGCATCTCCCTACGTTGCTCTACTGCCTTGAGGATCAGACCTTTAGATCGAAGGCTCGGGGAATGGCCCCCACACGAATTGAATGATTTATGTTGCGCATATATATTTGATGCCTTCTCGTACCAATGTTTATGTGTTTAAATAAATAAAATAAATATTAGTATTTGCATTGTACATGTTATGTGACTATGGTAGATAATATTCTACCTACCCAGATAAATTTGAGTGGATCCAAGTTCAAACCTAATTTTTATTGACACAGATGAAACCATTTTATATTTAATCAGAAAAACAATCACACACCTGTATTGTTAAATATTTCACTAAACTGGAAAGACGGTTGGTTACGTGTGCTAGAACCAACTGCTCATTAGCATCCCGGCGGACACGAACATACAAACTTCCTGCAAGGTCCTTGTATCCAATCGACCATATGTGCTCATTTTGCAGCTCAAGAACACCATCAACTGTAGAGGCTTCTCGAAGCGCTTTATCTAAGGGGCTAACCAAATGAGCGGGTGTTGTTTGAAGTAGTATCCGGCCACTATAATAAAATCAGAAATTGGTGTTTAACAACTACGTATCTGACTTGATCCAGAGTAATTAAGAAACGAGTCTTATGGGAGATAACCAGTCAAATGCAACGTGGAACCTGACACACGTGTACGTCGTTTCAAGTTGCCATTCCACATTAACAAAGAGTGACGAAATTGTCAAGGTGAATCCCAGAGTAGTAGAGGTAGTAACAGCATCAATGGTAATAGGAAAGGTTAGGCATCCAAGACACAACTCGAGAAGTACAAATTAGTGAAATGATAGAGATAAATTTATGAGGAATTTAGAAACTTAGTATTTAAAGAAAGGCAGTGAATGCACCTGCGCCTTTGTGAACGGTTCTAAGCCATGTCATTCAGTCTCGATGTATATGGAGTAGAGAGCCTGTACAAGGCTAATATACATCCTTGGTATGTCTTTTAATGACAGTTGCTTCCAGAAAACCTGTTGATCTGAATAACAAAATGCTGCTTTATAGTAGAAAAATACGATGGTTGAGGGCTGGTAGGTATGTCTGTGCTCAGGAATCTGGCGAAGTGCGAATATTTGGTTCACATATCCCCGTATGGGCCCGAAACAAGGCTTAACTGCCCGCCACCACCGACGATCATTATGTAGAAAGTTTTGGGTCCACGCTCATTCGGGAGCGTAAGTTCATGTAGTGGGGAGGCGATGAATTGTGTTTCTATTTTTTTGTTTTCCTACTTCCTTAGTCCGAAAATTTCGAATCTCATGAAGGCGTTTTTCAACCTCTGGTCCCTTACTCCATGGAATGGCATGTTACCTTCAATGTTCTGATATGCTGATTGTAGTCTTTCTTCTCTGGTGGCGTACATCAAATCCCAATGGATAAATATTTGGGATCGGTCACACATCTATAGCTAATATTTCGTAGTGCTCTGGCTCCTTAATTCTTAAGGCTTCACTGTGAAGTTTTGAATCTGTGATGCAAGGCAGAGTGGGACATTCCGGGACGTGGGACGTTCTGTATTCCTTTCTTTACATTGTGAGTAGACAGCACCACTTCAGATCCTCGTTGTCTGAGAGGAACAGCTTACTTAGTATACACTTTCCTTCGGTCAACAGTGTGTTTCGCACTCGGGCCATGAGTTTGCTGCTTTTACGATGGTTGAGCGCTGGTAGGTATGTCTGTGCTCAGGAATCTGGCGAAGTGCGAATATTTGGTTCACATATCCATATGTTCGATACTTACTAGCAACAGAAGTTGCAGCCAGCTTGCTAACATCAATCCTTTGGTGGCGGTCACTTCGTTGGCCACTGAAAAGTAAGGTAAGATTGGCGCAGACCAGAGCATGATCAGATTCCAGATAGGTACTCCAAAAGGAGCGGCAGTCTTGTACACAACCACGCCAGCGGTAGCTGATCGCGATGTGATCAATCTGAGTCCAGGCTTGAGATGCAGGAGGACGCCAGGTGGCACATCGGCGATAACTGTGCCGAAAGTTAGCGCTAGCCAGAAACAGGTTGTGGTCTGTGCACATTTGTAGTAGACGGTCCCCGTTATCTGTCCTGCGATCAACAAGTCCCCATCGGCCACCTAAACGATTCTCTTCTGTGCCTAGACGCCCGATCTGAGCATTCAAGTCTCCGGCTAGTACCATAATATTTGTTGAACTTACTTTCTGGAGAAGAACAGTTGACTGGTGGTAGAATTCATCCTTGATTGCATCCGGGCTGCAATCTGTCGGAACATAGGCGGAGATGACGAAAAGACATCGTTTCTCACGCCGATTTCTTCTCACTTTGATGGAACTTTCTAGTCTAACAGCACATAACCGACTGTTAATGGGGATCCAGTCGATTAGTGCTGCCTCAGCTCTAGCGCTTAGTGCGACACCAACGCCAGCAAGACCAGACGAAGATGCCACAGGGTCCCCGCATAAACGCACGTAAAACAAGCTTTTTGAAGCGACAGATGGAGAGCGAATTTGTAGTACTTCACCAGAGTCTTGAATACGGGTCTCGGATAGACAACACACGTCCATATCAAGACTTTCCAAAGACATAGCCAGCCCTATCTGTTGTCCGACCTGCATAAGTGTGCGAACGTGGAAGGCAGCCAGTTTGAGTGGTGCACGTGGTTTCAGAAAAACTGCTTCAGTACTCGTATTCGATGGTAACATAAAATTTTCAACTAAGCAGTGACTTGAGAACGTTTAGATAGATGGTGCAACACAGTGGCTAGAGACGTTATCAGATATGGCTCAGAATATAAGTCAGTGGCGAACCTGTCGTAAATTTATTTTACTTCATAAAAAATTGACGTAACTTATTTAACTGGGAGAATTGTTTCTGGTTGTACCTTTGCCAACTGAATTGTATATCTCATTATTATTGTTTCACTATAATACACTAAATTTTGTGCGTTTTTGTTCCCCTTTCTTGTTATACGCACCTTACATTCTCTATCTCTTCACAATCTCATTGTTATTGTGTGACGCATATGTATCTGGTGCCCTTTTGTACCAATATTTGTGTTCAAATAAGTAACATCATATACACAAAATACTGTCCAAAAGAAAAAAAATCCAAATCACCTGTACAACATCATAGGCATCATTGTTCCAAATAACATAAGGGAAATTATTATTCCGCCCAAAGTATCAGGCAAAGGGTCTGGAAAGTTGATATGTTGTGACTTTTTTGACATATTGATTAAGATGAGGTAAACAATACAGACAGTTGTAGTTGTACTTACACCAATCAGTGAGATTGGGTTAACTCGTGGCAAAAGAGCACGTGATAACCCGGGAATAATTCGACAGATTGTCCGGCTTATATCAGTTGTATGCTCCTATATTTAAAAATATTTGAGAAAGTATAGATTATTGTTCAGCGATCAGTTAACGGGTGTTATTCTCACGTTATTTCCTATGAATTCAGTTCATACTAGTTAACAAATTCTGTCAATATATTTACTGTTTTATATAAACCGATGAATATTTATCCTATTATGCTTACGACAGTTATTGTTTTTTTATGAACGATCGCTATTAACATTATGGTTATTTATTATGGTTCAATAGCAAGTTTGTCATGAATTTAGTCGTAAAGCAGTGATTGGGGTTAATAAATAAGCTTACATTACTTAGTATAGAATAATCTATTAACCGAATCAATGGTAAATTGTTGTAAATGACCAGGAATTTGTAGTGTAGTAATAACCAATACTGGCTAAAATTTAGACTAAAAGGGCTGTTTCATTGGGAGAAAGGAAGCTTATGATTACACATCACTTCGTATCCAATAAGTTTTCCGAACCCAACTCTACGAAAGATTATTTTCAAAAAAGGAAGCTTTTCTATGTCAGGTAAGACACAAACAAACCCATGCTCATACTAAAGCAAGACCAGAGTCTAGACATGTGCTCTAAAATGAGTAGCAATCTTCCATCAAGCTTCTACAACGATAGTTGATAGCGTTATGGTCTATTTGCGTCCATAGTTGAGGTCATCATGTCAGACGATGCCTATCTAGTTGAAGTGCGCTCGATAATCGTGATCGGTGATTAGAGACGTTAGGTGCCATATCTCAAAATCGGTAACGGTGACGTAGATGCATTATTTTCTATCTACATCCTGGTCTTAGGTCCAAGTATTTCCTCATACATACCTTCTCATCCAATCTTTTCAAAGCGTATTACCAATGTTTATTATTTCTTACAATCATTGCTCCCACACTATTTCGATTCCTTTGCCATTCATCTTTTCAAATTTATCTTATCGCGTTAATGGGCTATGATGAGTTGAACTAAAAGTCATATTTACCAAGCTAAGTGTTGATCATGACTGATTGATGTTTAGAAAGATTAGTCGTTGTTTCAAGTTCGGGTATTAATACTAGTAGTATTCCGGTCCAAGATACTTTTTATTTAATTGAGATCATGAACTGATTGATGTTAGACCACCATTGAAAACATGAAAGCACTGGACGGCCGTTTTGTCCTATTGTGGGACTCCTCAGCAATGCTCATCCACGATCCCGCTCGCGGGATTCGAACCCAGGGCCCTCGGTCTCGCGCGCGAACACTTAACCTACTGGACCACTGAGCCGGCATCCAATAGTGTTAGTGTCTAACCCCAACCAATCCACGAAGTTGCGCGACCATCTTCCATTGTACTGAGGTAGACACCTGATTCTACCCGACACGGATTAGCTCCACTGGTCACGGATTCTAACCAGAACTCCGAGAATTTTCTCACGAAGCTAGTCAATAGTGAGCACATTATAATTATCAGTTTAGGGGTTGCGGAGATTGTCAAGTTTTTGATTGAAATCGTGAACCTGGAAGCACTGGACGGCCGTTTCGTCCTATTGTGGGACTCCGTTGGATGCCGGCTCAGCGGTCCAGTAGGTTAAGTGTTCGCGCGCGAGACCGAGGGCCCTGGGTTCGAATCCCGCGAGCGGGATCGTGAATGAGCACCGCTGAGGAGTCCCACAATATGACGAAACGGCCGTCCAGTGCTTTCATGTTTTCAATGGTGGTCTAACATCAATCGGTTCAAGTTCCCAATCAAAAACTTGACAACCTCCACAACCCCTAAACTGATACTTTTCATTTAAATAGAGATAATGGTTTTTATCATTTTCATGGTAGAATGTATATCAAATACTTGCAGCATGTCGAACAAGTGTATAGGAACTCAATGATACAATATTGTTTGAAAATGGATAATGAGTGTCAATTTGAAATAGCTATTTATGTTACCAAACACAATCAGTGTAATTTTTGAAATAAAATTTATCCTGCAGAAACATACGTTTTCAATCTTTTCGTCCTAGAAACAGATGTATAAATTTTGTTAACATTTAAAGCCAAGTTCATTCGTGAAAATTCATTTTTTGCGAACAGTTGAACAGAGAGGTCAGTATAGTTAAAATTATACCTTCAGTCAAATTATTTATGAAGCTCCAGACCATGTAAGTTTACGACACTATCCAATGCTTTGAATCATTTTACTGTTGCTTATAACACCATAGTTTCTGGTTAAGTATTCGTTTAGTGCGAAGTCATGGTTGTAAATTTGACTGCAGTTTCAGCAATAAAAACTAGAAGATGTATGCATTTGCTTGATATTTTCAGCCGACTTGAATAGTTGAACAGCACACAAGAAGAATTCAAAAAGTTCTAAGTACCCTTCTGTATACTTATTATGTAGATGATGGAGAAATCATCGGGGAGAGTACATAACATTTATTCACTTAATTGGCAGAATAATATTTCATTTAGTGAGTAGTATTTAAATAACATTACAATATTTATGTTGTTGACTTTCAATGATTTTGTTTTTACTATTACTGATTTAGATTTATTTAATTATATAAGTAATTTGTTATGGGTGCATATGCTATTTATATGATATATTGTAGTTACTAATATTACCACTACCTCAAACTTATTGACTCTCCGTCCACGTATAGTAGCCTAACATCTAGTATTGGTATTGATTGTCAAAAGACTACGAAGAGTTCATAGCTTTTTGATACAACGGATCTGTAGCCGAACTCAAAACCCTGATAAAGCAATAATTACAACCAACTTATTAAAAGGAATATATGAATTCTAAAACATCCTTGATATTTAAGCTTTTTTAGAACTGATGAAGATAGATTCCTTAAACAAACTAATGAATGAAATGCTTAGTAAAAATTAGTTGGAAAATACTTTTTACATATACGTGTATATGACTGACTTGTAACCAACTTGATCCACAAGCTTGGATAACATGTGCAAAAGCCATATTATCAATTCCATAAACGGAAAGAAGATGAACACCAAATGCTATTAAACAAGGCGTAAGCATATGATTAGAAGAGATCTAAATTATGAAACACAAAACAATGCTGAAACCAATTAAGTCTGTACATAAAAATTTTACCAAACATGTATAGATAAAAAAAATACATATTAACATTTACATTTCACATTGGTCATCCGAAAGAAACTAGGCAAAACTCGTTATTATATGGTTGGAGACAAATGAATACCGAGTCATTGATGCTGTAATAAACGTATTTCCAAACTTAATAAGAAACTTTAAGAAAACACTTAAGAACAATTCCACTAGACATCAAACTCAGAATCTACGAACCTTTTAATGAACACTTAACCATGCTGTGAAACATAGACTCTAAGAATAGAGGATATTTGTAGGTTACAAGTATTCGATCATAGGTATCGTCAAACCAGTGCTTAAGTATTTTGAGACCGCCAAGTGAGCCACGCTAAGGTCAGACATTTATTATTTATTTGTCTGAACACATGAACATTGGTACAAGGAGACACCAAATACATATGCACCACACAATAACAATGAGGCCAGGAGCAGTTATCACAGATTTGTGTGAGGGCAGTGATACTGCCCAGTTGCCCAGACTGAAGTAGGTGATTTTCCCAAAGGGCCACGCCCCGAGCCTTCGACCTAAAGGTCTGATCCACAAGGCAGTAGAGCAACGTAGGGAGATGCAGTTTCATGGTAGCCGGTCACCAGCAATAGGTTCATACACCTTTTGTTCCATCAGGATACTGGGGACCATATTTATTTATTTGAACACATAAATATTGGTACAGGGGGGGCACCAAATATATATGCGCCACACGAAACAATGATAATTTGAAGAGAAGGAGAAAAGAGAAAAAAAAGTAATGAACGTGGGGAATTATAGATAAATAAATAAAAAAGAGAGAGAGAGAACAATGATGGGGAAAACGGAAAGGTACAATCAGAAGAGATCTTTCAGTTAAGGAAGATACAAACACTTTTTATGAAGAAAGTAAAAGAAGGTTACAGCACGATCGCCACTGGCTTCTATTCTGAGCCATATCTGATAACGTCTCTAGCCACTGCGTTACACCGTCTTTCGGACCCCAACCAGGGAGTCGTGAAGGACCAACACAAGCCAGCCCTTTGCAGCTTTCTTTCATACCACGACACCATGTCATACACTGACCACCTCTCCGCTTTTTCCAACCGGTCCCAGAGTCGGCAAATAATGCACGATGAGGAATTCTCTGGGACGACATTCGTAGAACATGTCCAAGCCACCGAAGTCGGTGTTTCAAGATGGTGACACCAATTTCATTATCATCTCTGTGACCGAACACTCGATGTCGAACCTCTGCATTACTGACATGGTGTTGCCACTGGATGCCAGCAATCCTTCGGAGGCAACGATGATCGAACACAGAGAGTCGTCTAACATCCTCAACTCGGAGAGGCAAGGTTTCACAAGCATAGAGCAAAACTGCTCTCACCGTCGCGTTGTAGATCCGACCTTTTACAGCCAGACTGACATCACGAAGGCGCCAAAGATGGCCCAGATTGGCATAAGCCGCTCTGGCTTTCACTATACGTGCATTGATCTCATCACTCACACCACCACCAGCACTTATGCAGCTACCTAGATACACGAACTTCTCGACTACTTCAATCTGCTCACCATCCAGAGTGAGTAGAGGATTAGAATCCTGCCAGTCTTGTAGAAGTACTTTGCACTTCGAGGGTTCAAAGCACATACCATACCTACGGACACGGATTGCCAACTGATTAAGTGCGGATTGCATAGCTTGGGCATTCTCGCACAGTAAGACAATATCATCCGCATACTCAAGGTCGAGAAGTGTTTCTCCAGGCAACAGATCCACACCACCATTGCTTACATCCGTCAGAGCTGTTTCCAGAATATCATCGATGGCAAAGTTGAAGAGGAATGGTGAGATTGGGCAACCCTGACTAACCCCACTGCTCGAATGGAATAGTGGAGAAAGGCGGTTGTATGCCCTCACTCTGCCTGAGGTGTTTGTGTATAGGGCTTTTAGGATGTTAATAAACTTCTCAGGCACACCCTTCTTGAATAGACAATCCCAGAGAACAGTTCTGTCCAACGAATCGAAGGCAGCCCTGATATCAAGAAGCACTACGATTGTTGGCCTTTGATAAGTATGTCGGTGTTCTAACACTTGGCGGAGGGTGAAGATATGATCAATACATCCTCGACCAGAACGAAACGCAGCCTGCTCCTCGCGAGTCAATCCTTCTCGGGTTCTGAACAACCTACGAAGTATGACGGAAGCCAATAGCTCGGACGCAATCGGAAGTGGACTTATCCCCCGATAGTTGTTACAGGAACAACGTGAACCCTTTTTAAAGATAGGGACAACTATCGACTCATTCCATGACGTTGGTACACTCTCTAGTTCCCAGATCTTTGTAAACAACGTCGTCAGTCCCTTAGTCAGAAAGTCACCACCATCTTTAAAAAGAGCCGGAGGTAAGTCGTCTGGGCCCGGTGATTTGTAACGTTTCAAGAGTCGGAGTTCCTTGCAGACTTCCGCCTCATTTGGTGGATCAGTCGTCACCAGCCACCATGTCATTTATTCACCCTCTCTTATTCCTACTTTATGTATCCATTTCGACCTAGACAGCAGCTCACCTATGGGGACCATATGCGCCATTGGAATCAGAGTTTTCCAACTCCCCTAGATGGACTCTGCGTATCCACCAACCCGGTTAAAGCACTGGACGTTCGCTTTTCGTCCTCTCAGTTTCATAAACAACAGTAGTGACGCGAGAAGGCAGTGAATAAGACTTCCCTGGCAGTTGTTGCATGCACGTGGCCGTGTAAGAGCATTTCGAGATGGAGAGCTGACTCTCTCCACTCTAGGCCGTACTAGGGCATTTTAGGGGATCTAAGTACGACAGCGAATTCGATTAGTGAAGCTGTGGATCTTCATCAACTAAGGTGGTTGAAGAATTTATTACGTATTTCCGACCAACACCTATCGTGACGGGCGTTTTCTGTAGTGTAGGTCTAGAATAGAAGAAAACTAAGGGAAGCCAAACGTAGACGCGGAACCATCCATGGAGTCGATGTGTCCATAAAATTACGTGCAAATTACTTGGTTGGGGTCTGCGTGATGACAGTAATGCCATAATTGACATAGCTTGGAGTCCGCCGCAATAGCGCAGATGCATTCATTCTTTATCTCCCCTTAGTTTCTGAATTCTGAAATTTCTTATACCTTTTTTCTACACCTAATCTCTTTTACTAATAGTGATACTGTTAATACTTCTGCTGATCTGAGATTTGCCTTGATAATTTTACCTCATTATGCTAATGTGGTATGGTAGCTTGAGCATATATCAAGTTCCATGTTGCATATAACTGACTTGTTAACTTAGCCTTTAGACGACTGAATTAGGATTCAATCGTTTACATTTTTAACTTCAGTCAATTGGAAACTATGCGATTATGATTCATTTCCATTAGTGATTTTTCTCATGCCAGATGCAACCTCTTACACTAATAGTCATCATGTGATTAACCTTGAGAAGTGACCCCTGAATTCTAGCAAGGAGTCATGACTTGTGTAGTTCATCCACGTCGAGTATAAAATAAATATTACGAATGTTAGTGAATGATGATTGTATAATACGGAGCATTGACCAAAGTTAGAAATGTAAAGTGTTGAATCTTAACTCAGTTACTTGAAGATTAAGCTTTCGTCGCGCGGCCTGGTCTTGGGTTTGACTCTTGGTGGGACCGTGAATGAGAACTATTGGATTCCGCACTAGCACAAAACAGCTATTCAGCACTTCCTAGTTTTTAATGATTATTTAACTAAAGTCAGTCCATAACGTTATTGAGAATGCTATATCCCCGAATACAACGTTTGAGCAAGGAAACCAGTCTTGGAATTCGAACATCGGTTTAAAGTTATTTTCACTTGGTTAGTGTTCAACGTATTTTATTGTATTGATTAATTCATTATGATTTTGAATTCAGTGACAATCGCTCAGTAATTTATAAGCATTTATTGATCAATACATAATTTGAATAAACTTGAGTGTAACCTGATTCTTCTAGTGTCTCTATTAAGAGCTTTTACAAGAACTCAGACTTTTCGCTCTAGTTTGTAGTCAAGAAAGAAGAACATAGAACCGGTCTTATTCATCATATTAAAAGTCGTAGTTACAAATAATTAACCAAGTATGCATACATATCAGATGTAGAACTAGAAACTACTATTAATAGCAACTAGTACTGTAGGTTACACTCAAATATTTAAGGTAATTTACTAGATTGATTTCGAGGACCTTATAATTTCAAAACAATCGAAACTCCTACACAAGTTTTAGCTTAACCATACTATCCTCAATAATTTACGTTTTTGACCTACTTAAACAATAAAATTAGGAATATATAGTTTTGTATTAATGACACTTTCGCTGAGGGGGCCAGAACCTCGAGGTTATTATTAGGGTTTTGGTCATCCAATGCGAAAATTCTCGAATGTCTACAAAACGTATGCTACTACAATGAATACTTGAGATGTATTGTTGCTCAAAATCTCCAACAAGAACCTTAGAAAAACCACTCTGCAGCTGGTCACGAACCACACATGGTTAACCGGTTTTAGGTATTTGGTAAGCAGTTTGACGGTTGAAAGGGATTGTTGGAGATACAAACAATGAAACAATCCGAAAGTTTATCATGACCACTGTTGTTCATGTTTTATAGCAAAAAATAGATATACATCTAATTTACGAATTACAATATAGTTTTGTATATTAATTGTATGACAGTAAATTTTAAGTGGAAATTAAAGTGTTTCATCCTAAATGAAATGCCTGAAACACATGACACCAAAAATTTTCAAAACAAAAACTATTTCTCTATAATCACATGAATATATTAACATGTTTTTCTTAATGAAGATGCTCACCTCTGCAGGTTCAAATATCCGTTCGACAGCCTCTTTTATTTCAAAAAACGATAAGAGAATAGCCAGGATAGTGGAAGCAAAAACAGCAACTACTTCAAATCTTTCATACCCCAAGCTATAGGATTCAATGGAGGCTTTTTTTCTGTTAGTCCAAAAGCTTATTAGTGCGACAATAACCGACAATAAGTCGAATATCAACAAATGTGTAAATGCTGTCAACGTTAGGCTAAATTTATGAGGAATATGAGGATTTATAACTAACCTATTACTAATATTGCACTCTATCAACAAGTACAATAAACAAGCTAGGATGACGAAAGCGATACGAACAGCGCGTACTGCTTTAGCTTCAATTTTTGCTAGTTGTTTAATTTCCGAAACTAAGTATGATAGTAAAGTATGTGCGGATTGGAAGTCCTGATAAACGGCATTGATTAGTTGTAGGCAAGAAAACATTCTGAAAAGAGAAACAACTAATGATTAACAACACTTATTAATGTTTTAAATAAATAAAGGTACAAACGGAAATACGATATTATATTCATATTAAAACAGTTATCAACATTTCTATGGTTTATTTTATTCCAAAGAAGAGTCCTCACAGACTGTTTCCATTGTTTTAGAGACTGTTACGCAATCTGTCTGCAAGGCCTTCGGAATAACATCACAGTCTTCTTTATCATCAGAATCTCTATTACAAAAATGTTGATCAAGTCTTTCCATATCCTCTGGAAAATTTGAACACAATAATTTTTTTATGGATCGGATACGTTTGAAGACATCATCCATTTCCTTTTTTAGTGATATTATTGTCTTTGTATGAGCAGTTAGTTCTGTAAACAGTATTCTACATCTTCCGTCAGAAAGCTCAGAAACAGTTCGAAGCATCTCATTTGTTTTTTCAAACTTGATAAGCATAGCTTCTTGTAAAGCAATTATATTTACTGCCTCTGAAGAATTGATCAAATTTTCGATAGAAAAATTAAGTGACTGAGAGGATGACATTATATACACAGAACATCTAAGTTGCGAAATAAAATAAAATGAATATAAAAAGTGGTAATTCGTGAAACATTAACTGATGTCATAGGTACACAAAATTTTGCTCATCAAAAAATACTACTCACATTCTTTATTTTAGTTACTATAGACGAAATTGAATGACGCTAACATTTAGTATAACCTAGTTATCCATATATACTTAAAAATGTGCACAAGAAAGTCTTTTAAATTTAATCCATCAAAAAAAAACGTAACATCCTTTGCATTCCAAAAGATCAGATTACATGTTTTACTTAAGGACACCAAGTGTCAAACGACTAAATTAGAATTAGTAAGACTATAGCATTGTACAGCCAAACAATGTAACCAATATAATCGATGTTTAAGAGCGTTTATACCACTAACCCCATCCTTCAGAGCTGTTTTTTAACAAGACAGCTATGGATAGGTAGAAAAAGAACGAGACTGAACAACCAACCCTAACCCCACTGCTACGTTGGAAAACTACATAGTAGTTATCTCTCTTTTCTTTATGTATTTGTGCAAAACGCCTTCAATACACATTCAGACGCCCCACAATGGTAGTATTTCTCGACCTTAAGGCGGCATTTGACTCTGTTGATTGTGAGGTTCTATGACAGTGTTTGTCACTGAAAGGAGTACCAGAGAAGTACATTAACCTTATAAAGGCTCTCTACTCGAACACAACTGGTCGAGTGAGAGCTTATGGCAAACTGTCATCAGAACTGATATCTTCAAGTGGTGTTCGTCAGGGCTGTCCAATCTCTCCATTCTTGTTTAACTTTGTCGTTGACGTGCTTTTAGAGATAACACTTTCCTCATCTTAATTTGCAGGGGTTGAACTTCTACCAGGAGATTCACTTGTTGACTTAGAGTATGCCAATGACATAGCTCTATTTGGTGAAGACGCTGACAAAATGCAGAGTCTGCTGACCACTCTAAGCAACAATGCAGGCATGCTCGTCATGCGATTTTCTCCCTCGAAATGCAAAATGTTGCTTCAGGAATTGGTTGCACTGACACCCGAACTAGTGATAGGGAGTGAAGTAGTTGAGCGTGTCGACCGCTTCACTTATCTTGGGAGTCTCATCAGCCCTTGTGGTCTGGTGTGTGACGAAATCCCAGCACGGATACAGAAGGCTCGACTAGCTTTTGCCAACTTGCGTCATTTGTGGCGTAGGCGAGATATCCGTCTATCAACCAAAGGACATGTTTACTGCGCAGCAGTTCGTTCCGTCCCACTTTATGGCAGTGAAACACGGCCAGTAAGAGTAGAGGATATTCGTAGGTTACTAGTATTCGACCACAGATGTCTTTGAAACATTGCTCGTATATCCTGGGACCACCGAGTAAGTAAGTCAGTTGTTAGGAAACGGGTACTAGGTAAGGATGGAAAATCAATTGATGAAGTAGTGAAACTTCATCAGTTGAGATGGCTGGGAAATGTGTTACGTATGCCCGACCACCGACTGCCCCGACGTGCGATTTTTTATGGTGTGGGAGTAGGTTGGGCGGCCAGACCGAAACATGGCACAAATCCATGAAGTCACTGACAAGTGGACTGAGCCATGTTGGTAGGTGTAGACTACCTGGTTGGGGACCGCGAGATGATAGCAACCGATGGTTAGAGACCTTGAATGATATGGCTCAAAATCGTTTGCAATGGCGCAGGTGCATCCACTCTTTGTGTTCTCCCAAACTCTAATCTTCTGAATTCTTCATGTCCTTTATTTTCTTTCCAAATTTATTCCACTGGATTATACTCCTTAAATAACATCATCAAACCCTAAGATTCGCGATTACTACTTTTACTTTCACTACCTCTACCACTACGGGATTTGAATCGATAACTGAATCTCTGTGCTAATGTGGTATGGCAACTCGAACTGATGTACGTACGTACGAAGTTCCACGTTGTTACTGACTGACCCTGAGAAACTTCCCAGACGCCTTTATTCAATAGACTCATACAGTACAGTTCCACCCAACGAATCAAAGTTGGTTTTGAGGTAAATAAAAAAACAACAGTTGGCCTGAAATAAGTGTTGCGGTGCCCTGACACTTTGTGGATGATGCGCACATCTAGTGCAAAAGCGGAAACTACCACTCTCTTCCTGAGTCGATTTCTTACAGATTTTCACAATCTTCATTCATGTATATTTTTTCCGTATTCTGAAACAATATTCTCAATACTTAATTTTAATTAGCAACTAGACACATTCTAAATGTGAGCATTAGTGATACTATCAGACCAACCAAAACGAAGTAGAGCGGGGTTCGAGCCCGAGACTAAATGTCTGGAAGCCACTCCTTAACAACTAAGCCACTGTGCTATTGTCATTATCATCGCTAGTATATAATTCTGAATCCTTTTTACTTATCATATTGATTTTATCTTGCTGTGTTAGTGCCGAACGGTAACTTGGGCTAACACACACGTGTCACGCTTGATATCGAATAGGATTGAAACCAGCGTGCCCTATCCCTTGGTTATATCACACCCTAAAATACCAATGCATGTGCAGGCCATATATCTAGCTAATAATAGGTAGTCAGATACTTTTTAGACGCTACAGATTGAGTGAACGTCAAAATTCTCAGAACTAACCTCGAAATCTTGACGAATGTCCAGCATCAATCAAAAAGATTCAGGGATGCGCATTTAGTTGTGTGCTGTCAAATTAAACGTGATTTTATATTTCAAGTCAAACTACATCTGACACTCGATATACAGTAAATATCTATCGAGAGTAACATTTCGCTGAATAGAAAGATACTTTTCCTGTCAACAAAACTCTCACCCAATTGCTTATGAAAAAGATATCTTGCACACAACATGACCAACACACATTTTTTACATCCGCTAAGCTGTAAACTATGGTCACTATTTTGAACCCAGAAATAGAAACTTAGAAATTGAGTTTAACGATTCTTTGTTTACCAGTGGAAAGATAATTTAATCTTCAGGTTGATTATGGCACCATTTCTAATCAGTCAGACAGGCTGATTTGTCAGTGGATATCAGAGTTATAGATATGGCTATCACAGCTAAAGCTATAGCTGTGAACTGGTTGATTTAAAATGTAAATACGATGCTCCAGAAAGAATACTAACAACTTAAGTGACCTAAAGCCAAGTTTATAAAAACATTCTCTGGCCAATATTCACATTATGAATATACGTACCCGTAGACAGACTGCTGTCGCTTTACTGTAACTGGCAACGTAGCACATCAAATGAGTAGCACGCTGAAATAATATGCTGTTCAATATCTTTAGTGTACAATCATTCAGGGTCGTGCATAAGACGTACGCGATACTCGTAGTCTTTGTACGTCAAAGACGGTACAGATTCATTTTATTTCTTGTTTTGTTGCAGTTTTTGGTATTTAAACTTGTCTTTCACTGTCCACGATCTAAGTGAGGTAGAATATTAAGGAAGTTAAAGAAATATATATCTTATACACTTCGTTAATAATGATGTAGATCTTGAAGTTCAAGTAGGAAAGTATGTGAAAGATCGATATTTCAGACATCAGATAGTTCAGGCGAAGGATAGCAGTCGACAAGATAAACATGTGAACAAAACAGGCGAAAATAGTTGTAGAGGTAAATTAAACTTTAAAATCAATAGCTCTGACAGACTTCAATGCTCTGTTCATCGACTATAGACATCTGACCGTCTCTTTAAGCTCATCTTCAGCCAACTGCTCCCCTCGAGAGTCTCGACAACTGGACTACATTTCGCAACTTCAGATATACATCACATTTCTGAAGCAAGCAATGCAGTTTCAGACGTTCTGTCCGGCATAATTTCTTTGGACAGTTTCAAGAAGTCGACATTCTTCAAATCACCAGCTTTTACAGAAAGACACTGATCTTCTACACGAGTTGTATTTGGAAACACTGAAACTAGATATCAAACTTTGTATCATGACACATTTACAGGTGCGGATCGTCCAATAGATCCATAACGTTATTAGAACGTCTTCAGTACGCTTCTCAAGCTTTCTCATCCAAGCGTACGAGCAGCCATCAAGGACGATTTTGTTGGACAGTTATCAAAAAGACATGATGGGATGAGCACTCTCCTGTATAAGCTGCCAGAAATCTGAGGTGATTAAACACGACGAATTATCATCCTGATGCTCGCTTCGACCATACTCATCCTGATTTGGTAGGACCCTTACCAGATTCAAATTGATACACTTATCTCTTAACTTAAGTAGACCGTTTCACTCGACGGCCAGAAGCAGTACTTACCAAGGACATTACAAATGAAACTGGTACGTGCCTCTGTCGAACGGTGGGTAGCGAACTTTGGCTGCCGTTCAACTATTACCACAGACCATGGGCGCCAACTGGAATCTGAACTTTTCTGTTGTCTGACTACACTATTAGGAATAACGTTATTCCAGAAAACTCCCTACCACCCACAAGAAAACGGGTTGGTAGAACGCTTTCACTGACAGCTTAAAGATTCACTCTCAGCTGTAAACGTTTCACAGTGGGCCGATGCTTTTCCACTCGTTTCACTAGAATTTCGCAATGTAGTGTTAGCTGAAATTGGATACACTTCACCTCAACTAGTTTGTGGAACTTTCCTCCGACTTCCAGGAAAATTCGTGAATCTCTCGTTTTCTTCAAAAAATATGGAAAATCAAAAGTCAACGGAAGCTTCTAAGTCGTTTGACAACCGGTCCAAAATAACGCGTTCTGGAAAAAAATGTAAGGTTTCCGGAACACTAAAACGAATACTGCACGTAGGGAACAACAAAAAATTTTGTTTCCTCTCGCTATTAATGTTTTGAGTTAGAAAGCCAAAACCAAAGTTTTTCGTTGCTATTATGGTTATATATCCAAAAAATCCCCCAAAATATAACTGGTCTATAATTTTCATACGTCATCGCATGAACTTACAAATTCTTCTTTTCCTTTCAAGGAAGGCTGATAAAAATGAAAAACAGGCGCTTAGGATTAATC